TGTCTGGATATTTATTGTGGAGATTAATGGACTAAAATGGGTTGCTGCACCGTGACTGTCTTCTCCTTTTTTTGGAGAGTAAAAACTATATTTTGGTTTTTAAATGCTGCAGCTGCACCGTATTAAGAAATCATATTACTGGTTGGTTCGAAATGGGTTGAAATGTTCACATTTCTTCTTTGCTTTACATGCTGATCACTAAAGCGTGCTTTAATTAATATTGCGTTTTCGTAAAACGTAAGAGCAAACAAGGGGGATTTTAATTGACAAAAATAATCAAATCAGCACATTTCCAAGCCAACTGCGGTTAACATTGGCACGTCGGCTTGAAAAATATCTCCTTTTTGCCGTAAATAACACACATTTCATAGCTGTTGTGGGTTATGTATGTGTTCATCAGTGCTTGAGAACTGTAACTTTGGGGAGCGGGTCGTAATTGTGGGCTTTTAATGCGGTGCTGTCTGTGGCGAGGTGTTGGTAGGGTCTGATCGGAGCTGCAGCCAGAGCGTTTCTCCCGACCAGCGGCTGCTGGGAGCTGGTCCACGGTGAAGCAGCCCACGCAGCCGAACGAGGGCTTCCCGGCTAAGAGCTGACCGCAGCGGCCCCGACGACCGCGGGCCAGCGACACGAGAAATAACATGGGGAGTCCTGCTGCTGCCTGCTGTTGTTTGTTTTCCGTAGTAAATACCTGAATATGCAGAGACTCAACAGGTCATTCAGTTGTGTGGTATCATTCAGATGATCAAATGAAATGTTGCAACATTAATATCAGTTTACCTGATCTTGATCAATAATCACATTGATGAATTGGTGCATGAATAACTACAGACCCTGCTTCCTGCAGCAGCTTTTTCTGCTCTAGATTTATGATCTGCTATTTGTATATTTCAACGAAAAAGACGGAAATGGCATTAATTATTTAGATTAATTTGTGGATTTTTTTGTCGATGTTAACCCTGTTGTGTCTCAGTTCATGAAGCTGTTTTCCATGTTTCCCGCGATGCGAGCAGCTGATTGTGCAGCAGATGGCCGCGGACATGATCAATTTCGAAGTGCTAGTTCTGGATCAAGAGAAAGCCTGCTGTGCTGTGCCGATGATTTTATTTTGCGAGGATGGATTGAGGAAGGGGGACACACATGCTTAAATATCGACTGTCGGCAATAATCAGATTCATACTCATAAAATACTTGTTTACATGTTTTGTGTGTGTGTGTGTGTGTGTGTGTGTGTGTAACTCTGCCCACTAATCCGTTACGTATTTTGTTTCTTGTTGACATAAATACAAAAATTATGCAAAAGAAAAGAAGTGAAATAATGTACAATACTAAAGTGTATGATCCAGTATCGAACCCGCGACCTTCACCATTGCAGGCGAACGCGTTAGTCACTAGACCACCAGGGCTATGTGCTAAATCTCTTCGCAAATTTATCCCTTAAAAACATCATCAGTGCTGGCAGGCTTTACAGCAACGTATGTAAAATAGAGCCTTTTTTATTATTATAACCCTGTCGCTTCCGTACAAATGTGAAACAATATATCTGACGGAGATTTCTGCGGAGTTTCTGCACTTTCCTGTCAACAGAAACAGACATGCTGTCTGCCGCTGCCTTGCCGCTGCCTTCCGCCTCCAGGCTTTTTCAGACTAATAACTGAAAACTAAAGACTGCACACGTTAACTGAACAAAGATTACAGCAATACACCACAACTTTCTCGCTACAAATATCGTCAAAACATATTTATGTGCTCAAACGATCTTAGTTTATCAAATTTTCTCTTAGAACAGCCTGAACAGAGTCCGCCATACTTTCTCTGTTTCTCAGTCCTACATGGACCAATCACATAGCTGTTCTGCATTTCTTCATTTGCATGTAAAGGCCGGATTTGCTCACTAGCTAACTAGTGAGCAGTACAGCGGTCGAACTAGTTAACATGTTACACAGAATGCCAGCCAAGTGTGTATTTATTCAAATTCCACAAATTTACTAGTTTTAGGGGCATTTTTCTGCAGCTAGTTAACTAGTGACAGTGTTTTGTGTTCACTACTTAACATGTAAGGCTCAGTTTGCCCTCTATAAGCTAGTGAGAAAAAATTATAATGCAGATATGCTCACTAGTTAACTAGTGAGTGCTTCCTGTCCCATTACAAGTGAACTAGAAAGGCCAAATATGTCAACTAGTTAACTAGTGAAGGTAAATTTGTCACTAGTTAACTAGTAAGAACACATTTTTACATAACAAGTAAACTAGATTGCTCCAAAAACAGCAACTAGTGTGCGTCTTGTGCGCACTAGTTAACTAGTGAGCATATCTGCACCTCACTAGTTAACTAGTGAGCATATCTGCACCTCACTAGTTAACTAGTGAGCAAATCCGCACCTCACTAGTTAACTAGTGAGCAAATCCGCACCTCACTAGTTAACTAGTGAGCAAATCCGCACCTCACTAGTTAACTAGTGAGCAAATCCGCACTTCACTAGTTAACTAGTGAGCAAATCCGCGCCTCACTAGTTAGCTAGTAAGCAAATCCGCACTTCACTAGTTAACTAGTGAGCATATCTGTGCCTCACTAGTTAACTAGTGAGCAAATCCGCACCCTACTAGTTAACTAGTTGGCGTTTTGGGGCCCACTAGTTAACTAGTGAGCATATCTGCACTTTACAAGTTAACTAGTGATGCTTTTTTGCACCTTACTAGTTAACTAGTGGGTGCTTTAGGGCACACTAGTTAACTAGTGAGCAAATCTGCACCTCACTAGTTAACTAGTGAGCAAATCCACACATCACTAGTTAACTAGTGAGCATATCTGTGCCTCACTAGTTAACTAGTGAGCAAATCCGCACCCTACTAGTTAACTTGTTGACATTTTGGGGCCCACTAGTTAACTAGTGAGCATATCTGCACTTTACAAGTTAACTAGTGATGCTTTTTTGCACCTTACTAGTTAACTAGTGGGCGCTTTAGGGCGCACTAGTTAACTAGTGAGCAAATCTGCACCTCACTAGTTAACTAGTGAGCATATCCGCACCTTACTAGTTAACTTGTGGGCGATTTGGGGCCCACTAGTGAACTAGTGACACTTATTTTGCACCTCACTAGTTAACTAGTGGACATTTGTACCCTCTCTAGTTAACTAGTGAGCAGTTCTGCCTTCACAAGTTTACATGTAAGTGTCACACTGAAGCCACTACTAGTTCACTAGCTGAGGTTCCTCTGGCCAGCATGTTAACTTGTGTGCCGCATGCAAATGTTTGGGGTGGGATTTTACGAAATTCCGCACTGTGATTGGTTGTCATATTTTATTTTGACACAGGGAGCCAATAGAGAGTCTTAATTTGAGAAATTCTCCGCCTCCTAATTAGAATTCTGCGCAACTAGCTAGCTAGTGTGAATGTAGACTTGAACTAGTTTACTAGTATACATTTATGTCCTCACTAGTTAACTAGTTTGGACAATGGATGCATCAACTAGGTAACTAGTGAGCCTGCTGCCATCAACTAGCTAGCTAGTGAGCCATTAATGGTTCACTAGTTAACTAGTGGCACTGACCTACTCCAACTAGTTAACTAGTTAGGAGTTAAGCCTTCACTAGTTAACTAGTGTGCACATTTTGGCCATCAATAGTTAACTAGTGAGACACAAAAAACCTTCAACTAGCTGACTGGTATGCATTTTGGCCTTTACTAGTTAACTAGTGAGCCATTTATGTGACAACTAGTTAACTAGTGAAGCCAAAATGTGTTCACTAGTTAACTAGTGCACATTTATGTCTACCACAAGTTAACTAGTGTGCACATTTTGGCCATCACTAGTTAACTAGTGAGACACAAAAACCTTCAACTAGCTGACTGGTATGCATTTTGGTCTTTACTAGTTAACTAGTGAGCCATTTATGTGTCAACTAGTTAACTAGTGAAGCCAAAATATGTTCACTAGTTAACTAGTGCGCATTTATGTCTACCACAAGTTAACTAGTGTGCACATTTTGACCCTCACTAGTTAACTAGTGAGACAAATACCTTCAAGTAGCTGACTGCTATGCATTTCTGCTTTTACTAGTTAACTAGTGAGCAGTTTTTGTGTCAACTAGTTAACTACTGAAGCCTAAATGTGTTCACTAGTTAACTAGTGCGCATTTCTGCTGTCACTAGTTAACTAGTGGGCACATTTTCACCCTCGATATTTAACTAGTTGACACAAACATGTCTAACTAGTTAACTAGTGGACAGAAATGGCTTACATGTTCATGACAATTCTGGCTGATATCCTGATATCAGAATAAATGCTCATTTGGCTTGCCATAGATGGCAGGCGAGGAGGACTCTGGGTTTGTTCCTGAACTGAACCTGTTAAAGGAACTTGTTCAGTTCATTCAGGGTATCTGCAGGTTTAAAGGAGCCAAATTTAAGACTTTTTAAGACCCTATTTAAGGCCACTTTGACCAAATTTAAGCTATTTTTAAAATTAAATTTAAGCTATAATTTCCAGCTATTGCCTGGAACCGGTGCTAACCACGTCGCGAACGTGGGATTAGCCATCCAGTTACCATTAAACTTGCACTTCCCCATGGCGCAAGCTCCCACTAGCTTAACCAGCTAATGTGCTCATCTAAAAATAGCCCCCTTTCACAACCAGCTGAGTGTGTACGGTTCCACTTACGCCAACATCACACATAAAATGCTGAACACTAACTAGAAATTCACGAAAAATTTCATAGTAATAAAAGAATTTTGTTTATTGGGTTTTTGGAGATTTAAGACCTTTGGAAACTGCATTTAAGGAATATTTGTCATTTTTAAGGATTTTTAAGGCCTTAAATTTGGAAAAGCAAATTTAAGACTTTTTAAGACTTTTTAAGGACCCGCGGATACCCTGTTCATTGGCTGTGTCCAGGCTGCCATCAGTGCAATCCTTCCTCTGCTTGAAGCCTGTGATCTTCTTCATCCCTGACCAGACATCTGATATCGTTCCTCTATCCATCCTCCTCAGAGACACACACGTAACAAACACACTTTATTCACACCGATAACGTAAGAAATGACACACACACGAAGCTGAGGTGAGATTAAAATCAGGATTTTTAGGAAACATCTGACACACACACACACACACACACACACACACACACACACACACACACACACACACACACACACACACACACAATTCTCTGGAGTTCTATAAAAATGAAGTGAGCTCATTCCAAAGTGAGCCGAGGTGCTTCTCTGACAGAAACCGTGTCTTCAGTCAAAAGGGAACAAGGCCTTAGCAGGCGGCTTGTCTCCTCATGATGATGTTAGACATGAAGCAGGAACAGGAGGAAACATGAAGAACATAACGATCTTCATCAGAGCCAGTAACTAACTGACAGAGTCCAGATCCAGTCTGATTCTACGAAGGACACGTCCCTCCGGACTGGTTAGGAAGCGGTCTGCGCCGCCCGCTCGCCCCGCCTCCTCTGATTGTAGGCGTTGTACACGTCCAGAAACATGTCCCTACAGGCGATCTGGGCCTTCAGTTTGGAGCAGATGAGGAAGGAGCCAGCCATCTTTCTGTGGAGGGAGTACGTCTCCTCAGGGGGTGGAGTGAGGCGATGGCGCAGCATGACAGGGATGAGGCTCTGGATGCGCTGGGTGGTGCTCTGAGTGCCGAAGTCAAAGGGTTCGGCAGACGCAAAAGCTTCACCGAGGATCATCACAGCCTCCACGTGGGCATCCTTAAAGGCCTGGAGGCAAAACGGGAGCAGAGTTAGAGCCAGATCAGAATCTAGAGAACACCATCTCTCCCCAGAAGAAGCTACAACGATGTTCTGCTGAGCTGTGGTGGCCTCATGGAGGGGGCCATCAGCTAGCACACTGCTGCTAACCACTAAAACATTCTCCCTCTCCTGATAATAACTTTTTACTCTCTTTGTCATAGAAAGTGCTACTACTAGCTTACCCGTTTAATTATAGATTCACAAGGATACATACAATAAAGTTTGTGTGTGTGTGTGTGTGTGTGTGTGTGTGTGATGGAGGATGGCTGCTTATACTGAGCCAGGATCCTCTGGAGGTTTCTTCCTGTTAAAAGGGAGTTTTCCTCTCCACTGTCGCTGCATGCTTGTTTATTATGAGGATTGCTGTAAAGACTCTGACACTAGTCAGTGACTCGATGCAACCTGCTGGGCTCCTTATACAGGAAACTTTTCACTGATTGGCTTAATGAACTGACCTGTATGTTTACCATGTGACGGTCCTAGAGACGACTCTGGTCCTGAGTTGGCGCTTTATAAATAAACGTGAATTGAACTGAACTATCACTCATGTAGTAAAACTTTAGAAATCAGTGAAGAGAAACATAAAAAGGACCACAGCAGAAACATAAACAGCCCACCTTGGTTTCAAAGCCTGTCAGGAACTTCAGGTCTTTGGATTTAGAGAGAACGGTGTCTCGATCCCCGACGGACGCTGCAAAAACCACCTGATGGTAGAACACCAGAGCTGAGGCAGAAGCACAGTTTCTACCCCAAATCCCACCCCACCGTCGAGTTCTACACACCTGGATGTAGTCGTCTGTGAAGGATTCTGGGTAGCCTCTGCACGCTCCGAAGTCCAAGAGAAACACCTAAAGACGGGACGGGTGTCAGCAGTCCAGCGGAGATGTTTGTGTTAGAGTCAGAGCATTTCTGCTCACCTTGTTGGTGTCGGAGTTGTAGAAGAAGTTGGCCCAGTTAGGATCCGTCTGCATGAACCTGAACTCAAACAGCTCTCTGAGACACAGCTGCAGGATGTTGTAGGAGATCTAAGGGATGGAGAGGAGACCTGGTTCTGATTCCATCAGAGCATCTAACCATCCTCCGTCTCTGCAGACTGTCTACATGAACTCTAAAGTCGGGACGGACGCACGCAACGCCATTACCCGTCCTTTCCAGGGCTTTCCGACAGGCTCGCAAGGACGGATGGAGTCGAGCTCTCTTACCTGCTCCGTAGAGACGTAGAACGCAAGCTTGTGATTGGTCAGGATGCCGCTGTCGTCTACAGCGCTGCCATTGCGCCCTCAAAAACATAAAGAGCCGAGGATAGCAGCTTGAAGAACACCTCGAGGAAAAACTCTAAAATAGGAACGTTTAATTCCCCGTGACTGGAGGAGTGAAAAGATGCGCAGCAAGCGTTTTATTTGTGGACGGAAACGACAGGAAACGTGGGTTTAGAGGTGGCGAGCGCATGAAGAGGTGGAGGAGGATGAGGGACAAATTTGTCTGTGTTAAAAGTCTCTTATATAAAAAAAAAACACAATATAAACACCATCTTGGACCGGATACATGACAGGATACCACAGAACGGCGCTACGCCCTCTGCTGTCCTGGCTTTGCAACACTCTCCAGGAGACGGAGAAGTAGGAGGGTGAATTACCTCCATCCGTGCGTGCGTGCCTCTCCCTCGTGGAGCTGAGGGAGGAGTATCTAGGCTTTAGATGTCTGTCTACAGCACGTGTCAGACACGAGGCCCGTGGGCCAGGTGTGGCCCGCGGAGCATTTTTATGTGGCCCGCGAGATAATTATCAAAAATATAGTAAAACTGACCTGCTGGCCAATTTTACAGCAAAAGACTACAACTCCCATGACGCTTTGCGGCGTTAGCGCGGAGCCGAAGCGCCCCCTCCTTTGTGTTGTTTCCAGCTCTGCCGCCGGTGCCCAACCAGTCCTGTTTTGAGGGTTTTGTAACTGTTGCCGCTTTAGTGCACCTGTCGTTAAGTCCATGAACAGCAATACAGCTGACCGTGATTAACAATGCCCTCGGCTGCTTCATCAACCAGGAAATTATCAGACAGGTTTAACTGATTTCATGCCAGGCCCGATAAAAAAAGTGTTCCTTTAATTCTTGTGAGCAGTGCAGGTAAAAGTATGATCGGTGCTGATGTCGGATCGGATTGGTATCGGTATCGGTCAATACTGAAGGCTGCAATATCGGTATCGTATCGGAAGCGAAAAAGTTGCATCAGGACATCCCTAGTGTACAGCCAAAGTGATGAAGGAAATATGTGTTTTCACCAGGGTGGTTGGCACAGGGTCCAGAAGGCAGGCGGAGGGTTTCGTTTAGGAAGGCAGTTTACGTGGTGGTGTAGGGCAGGCAGAGCCTGATCCCGCTGGGCAGGCGGGGGGGGGGGGGGGGGTCAGAAAGACCAGAATGGATAGATGAAACTTTGGATTTAAAGACAGTCAAAATAGTTTCTACCTGTTCTGGTCTTGGTGACTGGCTTTGATGACACTGAGCTAACGATCGAGTCCACATAAATACGAATTAGCTTTAGCTCTGTTAACGGGTGAAACATCAACATGGACTGGAAGAAGTCCAGATTTAAAGACCTAACAATGGGTTAAGTTTCCCAGTGAGATAAATAAGTATGTTTGTCATCTACCTGTAGGAAACCAGCTTTAGCCATAGCCAACTCAGGCCCACGGGTCTGGCTCCACCAGGACTCCTGCCTTCTCATCAACACTTTATTGACCTTAACGTGGTTTTACTTCTAGAATATTCTGATCTGATGCAGATTTATTGAAGAGAGAATAATCTATCTAAACTTTCTCAGAGCTACTTTAACCTGCACAGGTGTTCAAACGAGTGTGTCACAGACGTGAGCTCAGCCGGACCTGGTTCCGTGTTTCCTGGTCCAGGTCCACGCAGCGATCCAGAGGAACTCCGTGCACCAGCTCCATGGCCAGCACCCTGCTGCTGGACAGCTCATCGACTACAGCTGGAACGTCAAAGAAGTCGTCCCCGTCCAGCAGACACCTGGAGGACCAACGGGAGCATTCAGACCCAAGACGCCGCTTCAGAAGCTCGGGCTGTGAGACGTACCTGAACTTCTTGGCACAAGCTGCTTCCCTCCGATAGTCACACTCCCAAACCAGCTCCCTCTGGAGAACTTCCAAACTGCTGTCTGCAAACAGACCTGTAGGAATAAAGAGCAGAGAAACCCCACCTCCCTTAAACACACCGTGGCTTTAGAGGCCGTTTACGACACGGCACCTTGTTGCTACCAGCAACCACAGAGCACATGTAAAGTCTGATGTTGTCATTTCAGGTCAAAATTGTTTCTATGCCTATTTTAACCAGCAGCTATAGCTCCACCTGCTGGTCTAAACTGGAACAGCGACATCCAAGACAACTTGTTTACTATGAATCACAATAAACGAATATTCTAGCGGCCATATTGTAGAAGCAGGACTATGAAGTGATGAGTCAAGTGTAAAGACCCCTGTAAGCTGTGACATCTGTTATGTTATAAACTTCCATCGTGGTCAGACCGCTCCACTCAGATGTCACGACTCTGCAGCTCTAAATGGTTTTAACGAATAAAACACCACTTCAGTCATTTGTAACAAGAACTGGGCATGACATTATTCATTTGGTCCATTTTAACTCTGCAGGGTGATCAGCAGGGCTGCTACTTTGTTTTCCTTTATGGCTTTGTTTGCTCGTGTGGTTTTATTGATTTTGTGTTTCTGCCTGTTGAAGCACTTGGTGGCATGTTTTGTCTGTACAGTGCTATATGAATAAAGTTTGAATCGAGCCAAGTTAGGGCTGGGCGATATGACGATTTTAGACCGTTTTACGATCTACACATCTGACGGTCTGTCATTTTTGAGAGACCGTTTTATCACGATTCACAGCTGCTGTTGAATTTCTGCCTCTGAATGAAAAGGGAACTTACCCCAGGCGAATGACACGCCTTTGTGTGACCCTTAACCAATCAGAGTGAGTCATAGTAATATATTAGTGCCCCGCTTGTTTTCATTTGTGTGTGAACAAACATGGCTTCGCCGCGGCTGAGCGACACGTTCCGAAGAGGAACGCAGGGTTTCCTTAGCGCGCGGCGCTAACAACTTAGCGACGTGACATGTCTCGGAGAAAGCGTAAAAACACGTTGGACGCTTCTTCTGAAGCAGGAAAATAACACCGCTTCTTAAGCAGAGCACAACGTCGCCTCGGCTCGTCCACCCTCTGCCGAGCCGGTGTCGGTACCGACTGAGCTCGGTCACTGGGTCGTTGGAGCTGCCCCGTGACTGCCTGATGGAAAACCAGCGGGTTTCATCAGACTCGTAGTTTCTTGTTTTTGCTGGGACCCCCTGTATTTTACCGCTCCCTCCTGCAGTCTTCCCCTATTAACATTTAAAATTATTCTGTAAACTCGTGTATCAATAGAAACAATCTCTGCCTCTGCCAGCTGCAGTAAATGTAGTCTCCAAATAATAAATAAGAGGTGCATTCATCTGTGTGTCTCCTTTGATCCGCATTAGTGATATTCTCAGCACCAGAACAATGAAGCAAAGAAAGATTCCTGAGTTTGTTATAATTTTATTTATTAGGTGCATCTAACCTGTTCTATTTTTCTCTGAAATGAGATCAGATCAGTGCTTCTATGGGTTGTCTCCAATCTGCACTGGAAAACTTTACTTTATTTAGAGACTTGTTGCAGAAAATATTCAGAATGCGCAGTTATTTGCTACCACAAGCGATCTCTGGTCCAGCCGCACATCAGAGCCGTATTTGAGCTTAACTATCCACTACATGAGCAACTGGGAGCTACATAGTATTTTGAACAAGTTAATGTTTGCACAATACGTTTGCAATTGACATGTTTGCACTTTAAATATGTTTACGATTTTAATTTATGTTAAGTTACTTGAAAAACGAGAAAAACTGATTTTTGTAATTGTTTCTCTCAGGGCTTTTATCATCTCTGGTGTGAGTTTAAAATATAAGCGTGTTAGCACTGTGCTGATTATCCCTAATATGAATAAATGTTTATTTATTCAGTGTTTCTCTTCTTTAATACGCAATTGAAGTTATGCTATTCATGGATAAAAAAATCGTGATAAAATCGAAATCGTGATAAAATATTGGAAAAATCGTGATATTCTATTTTTGCCATATCGCCCAGCCCTAAGCCAAGTCCATGTTCTGATGATTCAGACGACGGAGGGAATCTCATCTCCTGGTGGGTTAGGGTTGAGGCGTTATCGAGCACACAGTGTGTTTGGTACAGATGTTACCTTCTGGCAGCGCTACGCTCATTTTCAACACAGACATCAGGTTGTCGATGTCACTTTGGATGCTCTCAGCCACTCCCGGGTACTGATGTGGGAATAAGACATCAGATTAACGCAAAAACAAGAGCTGAACTGGAAAACTTTAAATACGGTGTATGAATCCTCTCCTACCTGGACCTTCATGGCAATCTCTCTTCCATCCTTTAACACGCCACGATGCACCTGGCCAATGGAAGCTGCAGCGAACGGTTTGTCCTCAAAGGATGACAGCTTCTCTCTCCAGTTTGGACCGAGCTCCTCCTCCAGAACCTTCTGCTCACATAAACACACCCAGAGTGCTGCACATATGTTACATTAGTACCAGTAGAGCTGTTCCTGAGGTGATCCTTACCTTCATCTGCCACGTGGGCATGAAGTCTGCGCTCTGCCGGACCCGCTCAAAGATCTTCTGCAGCTGAGGGCTGATGAAAGAGTTATCTGAGGAGGGAAACGAGACGCCCTGAGACACTGGGAAGGCACATGAGGACACGGACTCACAGCGGAGGACCGACCTTGAATGCTGAGCATCTGTCCGATCTTGAGGGCAGCTCCCCGAACCTTACAGAGAGTGTTGACTATTCTCTCAGCATTCGCCTCTGACAGGAAGGGCGAGTCCAGCAGGGCACGCGTGTCTGCAGAACACCAGCAGATACTTCAGTCAGGCCTTCTTAGAAATCAGCAGGAACAACGTGGTCAATTACCACGGAATAAAAAGTCCTGCAGAAACGCGTTTACCTCCTTTTTGTTTCCCACCCAGTGACTGTTTGGCCACTTCTGCTATGGCACCAAGTCCTAGTCCCACAGCCAGTCCTGCAGCACAAAGAAGCTTTCAATTTAAAGACATCTACAGGATGATGGTAAAGGGTGTGACCAGGGTTGTCACGGTAACCGGTGTAGCGGTAAACCCCGGTAAAAAAGTTGACAATAATAATAACCGTCTTGTTTTTAAAAACTATATAATCTCGGTGGATTACCGTGGCTGCGGTGTAGGCGCAGTGAACCTCACCAGCCACCGTATCATCTGCTGAAGTTGCTGGCGGCACATGCGCACTTTGTTGTTTACGACCAAAACTTTCTTGAAGCTAAAGCTGAAATAATGGCCAAAGGAGGAGACGGCAGCGCTCAGGAGGACATTTATTATCCCTCAAAGAAGACAAAGTCAGAAGTACGGGCATTTTTTGGATATTTGAAGAATGCCGAGGGACAGCTGATAGAAGACGGCTATCCTGATTGCAGCACATGCAGAAAAAGTGTCTGTGAAAGGCAGCAACGCTTCAAATCTCATAACACATCTGCATGACCATCACCCACAACTCTACAGTCAACGCAAGGCAAGCTAACGTTAGCGCTTTAGCTAAAATGCGTGATCCGAGGATTTGGGTTGAGGGAGAATGCAACGAGTCGCTATATTCAATTCAATTCAAACATACTTTATTAATCCCAGAGGGAAGTTGATTGCTGTAGTAGCTCAGAATAATAATAATAATCAAGTCATCAAAGAGTTGTTGTATATTACAATGGCTGTTGGCAGGAAGGATCTCCAGTAGCGGTCAGTGTTGCAGCCAAACTGAAGAAGCCTCTGACTGAAGACACTCTTCCGTTGTCGGACAGTCTTGTGAAGAGAATGCTCAGGGTTGTCCATCATTTTCTTGATTCTCTGGAGAATCCTTCTTTGCATTTTCTCCTCCAGTGGTTCCACAGTCGTCCCCAGAACAGAACCAGCCTTTTTTATTAGGCTGTTGAGCCTTTTCAGGTCCCTGCTTCTGATGCTGCTACCCCAACAGACGATGGCTGAAGAGATTACACTCTCAACAACAGACTTGTAGAAGATCTGCAGCATCTTGCTACAGACATTGAAGGACCTAAGCGTCCTCAAGAAGTGCATTCTGCTGTGTCCCTTCTTGTAAACGGCTTCGCTGTTCTTTCTCCAGTCCAGTCTGTTGCCCAGGTGAACTCCAAGGTATTTGTATTCCTCAACCACCTCCACTTCTTCTCCCAGGTAAATGGGGCAGCAGCGTCTCCTGACTTGGTTGAAGACAGATTTATAGAACCAGAAGAGTCCATGACTGCATTAGAGGACAAAAGAGTTGGCGTGTGACAGGAAAATGTTGGATCAGAGGAGGATGGGATGTCTGATTGGCTGGGGACAGGCGAGGAGGATGCTGGGTTTGTTCCTGAACTGAACCTATTGAAGAACATCTGTGCAATCCTTCATCTGCTTGAAGCCTGTGATCTTCTTCACCCCTGACCAGACATCTCTGATATTGTTCCTCTGTAGTTTGTTCTCCAGCTTCTTCCTGTATGCTTCCTTGCTGTCCCTGATCTTGATCTTCAGTTGCTTCTGTATACTCCTCAATAATTCCCCATCTCCCTCCTTGAAGGCTCTTTTTTTCTCATTTAGCAGCTGGTGATCCAGGGTTTGTTATTAGCGAAGTATCTCACTGTTCTGGTGGGTATGATGTTGTCCAAACAGAAATTGATATAGTCAGTGACACATCCAGTCATGGCATTGATGTCCTCTTCATGTCCTTGGCAGAGTCATCCAATCTGTGGTCTCAAAACAACCCTGCAGGGCTTCTTCAGCATCCTGTGACCATTTTCTCACAGTTCTTCTTGTCACAGGTTGCCTCTGAACAAGTGGTTTGTATTCTGAGCAGAGAAAAACAAGATTGTGATCTGATTGTCCCAGAGGAGGTCTTGTTTTGGACATGTATGCATTCTTTACATTTGCATAACACAGATCCAATGTCTTGTTTTCTCTGGTGGAGCAGCTGACAAACTGTTGAAATGCTGGAAGTGTAGCAGAGAGCGAGGCATGATTAAAATCACCAGATATAGCCACAAATGCCTTGGGGTGCTGGGTTTGTAGCTTAGCGACAGCGGAACTGATGGCATCACATGCATTTTCAGCAATGGCTGAAGGTGGAATATAAACGGTTGCCAAGACAACACTGGTGAACTCTCTTGGCAAATAATATGGGCGACAACTTATTGCCAAGAGTTCAACATCTGGGCTGCAGAGACGACATTTCACTGAAACATGACCTGGATGACACCACCTGTTGTTGACAAGCACTGCCACTCCACCTCCTTTTCTTTTCCCGCTCCTCTTCAGATTGCTGTCTGCTCGTACAGTCAGGAATCCTGGCAGAGAGACGCTGGAATCGGTGATATGGTCCTGCAGCCACGTCTCAGTGAAACACAAAACACAGCACTGCCGGCACTCTGGCTGAGTCCTTGAAAGGGTTTGGAGTTCATCCATCTTGTTGGCCAGTGATCTCACATCGCCCATTATGATCGATGGAAGAGATGGTTTGAATTTCCTCTTTCTCTGTCTCCGTTTAGCTCCCGCTCTGCACCCACGCTTCTTGCGTTTTAGCTCATTTGGGATTTGTGGCTTCAGTTGAGGTATTATTTCAGCCTTTCCCATGTTAATCAGCTGCTCCTGATTGTAAACCAGCTTGTTGCCGTGGTTACGCATCATAACAAATGCTCAAAAAGTGAAAAAATAGCAGTAAAGATCCTCCAAGCTTCACAGCACCAGAAACAGAAAAGTAAAATGTCCAAAAAAATACAGTTTTTCTTGAGAAACGAAAAGAAAAAATTTCCAAAAAAAGGCTAAACTTACATATAGTCAACAGAGCTACTCAAACATGCAGCCACCCAGAGCAGCGCAGTTCTGTAATATAAAGCAGCCGGAGTGCCCGCTACCTGCATATAAACCGTGTCGCGGACACCCCCATATTGAAATGACCCTATGCATTACGGAGCTCCCAGGGGCAGTTAAGAGTTGGTCTCTCTCCGAGAATAATTATGAATTTAACAATGATTACTGCCTGATGACATTTTCCCAAATCTGCAAAGCTCACTGGAAGGACACAAACCGAGGACGATATTTTCCTGATATAGGGTTTATTACTCAAGTAAGGGTAAACAAAAGTATCTGATTAGAAGGCTACTTGAGTACTGAGTATCATCTGATCTAATATTTTTAAAATGATGACATCAAACAGACAAAAAATAAGAAGTTATGGGCAAATATTGGTATTTTAAAGACTAAAGGGGAAATATGTAAACAAATAAATAACATAATCACAAAATAACAAATTTTAGGCAAAATTTAGACACAAACTGAGGACAATATTTTCCTGATATACAGTACAGGGTTTATTTAGTTGTCTGAAAATGTAACACGTTTAAAAAAATACCGTGATAATACCGAAAACCGTGATAATTTTGGTCACAATAACCGTGAGGTTAAATTTTCACACCGTGACAACTCTAGGTGTGACAGATGTCACCAACATGAACAGCCTTTCCTCCAGTCCTCGTATAAGTTCTGTATTTATACACAAGAATGTTTGTTTTCATAGCGAAGTAAAGGTGTTTTCTTTTATTTGTTTACCTAACCTGCGATGTAAAGGTAGGTGGTCGAACTTTCAGCCAAAGAACAGGAAATGAAATAAATCTGAAGGTCCGAACACAAGAAGCTGCTTGATAAAATGATTATTTCAGTGTGTTATGAAACAGCTGGACAGAGAGAACTCCTGTGGATGTGATGGCTAAATGGTTCCCGTCAGTGTGCGGCTTTGACCTTAGATCACAGCTGAGGGGTTTCTTCTTTATTTATGAAGCATCAAATCACGACAAGAGTGGTCTCAAGGCACTTCACACAGTAAACACTCCACAGGTCTGAGATCAGCTGCTGCCAAACCCAGTGCAGCTGTGACTTTGATGAGTTTGACCCATCAACATGGCTTGAGCTTACCAGCTAGAAAACAGATCTAGATGTTTTAGGATGAGAGTTCTAACTCCCCCGGAGGAATTTATAATGGGGGTATTCCAGAAAGCAAGATTTTCCCAAAACCAGGCTTTCTGGTGGGATTCCCGGTGTAACCGCCCCTAAATCGGTTCTACGAACGTGGCTAGCCTGAAAGCCCTCCCGGTCGCCATGGTAACACATGCTGGAGAACACGTCTGCTAGCAGCTAGGCTTACTGACGCTTTGTGAATATGACTGGACGAGGCGAGTGACGCCACCATTTTCCTGTGGGTGGCTGGCAGCCACGAGGAGGTGAGTAGCGCCACCGCTGGCCCACAGCGGTAGCAGCAGCTTTGTTCTTGATGGCTGAATTATTAATAAATAAAACTTGTAAAATTGAGTTCTAAATGGATTTACATCTTAACATGTTTGTATTTAATCCTCATTTGCAGCCAGGAGCGTTTCATTGCGCTGATGTTGCTGCTGATGTCAGCGTTATTAATAAGTGTAATTATAAATCAGCTTTAGTCTGGGATGGACCCGCATCATTAACTCTTTATGAATGTGTTAAAACAGCCTTAAACTACCTTACAGCTGCTAACATAACACGTGTCAAAGGAAATACTTTATTGATGTGACTATATATTTACTCTGGTCACAAACACGCTAATATTTCATGTAAATGACACACGTGATGTTTTGTCCTCGGTGTGTAATACGAGTGCTAAACGGTTTACAGCGTTAACTTTAGGGTCATGTGACCACCACGCACGTATAATCCTAAAACTCACAGCTGCTCAGCTAAAATAAAGTCCTCCAGTCTAAAAGCATCCAGACTCCGGAACAGAACATGAAAACGACACATAAATGATGAAAACTGGGAGAAACAAGAGCTGAAGTGGACTTCTGGCGTTGCCATGGAAACATGTTTACTCTGCACATTCCAACTATATAGCGCCGGTTACACAGCTTTAATCAAACAGCTCATGGTCTCCATTTTAGCTCTGACATCTTTGTAGTCCTCGTAGGCATGAATGAATAATTATCGCTGCGTCTGGGAGAAGAACGAGGCTCTGTCCTTTCCTTCCATTCTCATTTATCTAGCATTGATTAACAGGGCCTGCCTGTGGACGCACGTGAGCCTAGCTTGCCGCTCCTCGCTTGGATTATCGGGGATTGACTCCACCTGAGAATCGTTTGTGGAGCTGGTGAAACCTGGAAGGGAGGGAAGGGGGGCGCTTTGTCGAGAAGGGATTTATCAGGAGATCCCCGATGTTCCAATCTCGCTTTCTGGAATCTCCCTAAAATTTCTACTTTTTCATTTACATCCTGATTTTGTTGCTGCATTAAAAGAAATCTAGACTAATCATAACTGAATTATAAAGTCCATCTGAACCTTTTTAGAGCGGGAATGGTTTTTCCCTCCAAATTTATTTTTTCCTGCTTTCATTTATCACAATAAACCTTTTATCATCTGAAATTTTCATTCTGAATAATAAAAACAGGAAAACCCGTTTTGGTTTTTCGGGGTTAGGGTTAAAAGTTTAGTTTCATTTTAATAAAGAAATAAAGTGTTTTCACCTCCAAAATTAGCAAGTCGGCTGATTCTTGTGGTGGGAACCTTCCTCTCCCTGGCGTGGTCGCTCAGCTGAACAACAACATTAATTACATATAACAACACATACATGTAATATATTAACAGTTACAGAGTCTAGGAAGACCGACAGAGAATAAAACGCTGATGGAGCCTCACACCAACCTTCTGTCTGGCTGGTTTGACCAGAGCCTGCTTCACCTCTCTGGCCTTCCTCATGTCCTCTGGTGTGAGTTTGGCCACGGCGGGTTTGTGAACACACCTGGTCTGGTAGTAGTAGCACCGCTGGCGGGCGGCATGGAGAAAGCGAGTGCTCTGCCCTGGCCAGCCGGCCCCTCCAGGTTTAACACCGAGGAAAGATGAATGTTCGACTGGACAGAAAAGTGAAGGAGAATATTTAAAACTTGCTCCATCTGCTTCTTGGTGGTCAGATAAGAGACTGAAGGTGATGGTTGCGGCTAAAAAACTCAATCTTCTGAAATGGAAATCTACAACCCCACCTTCCTTTGGACGTCGGCTCACAGAGACGCTACATGTCATTCAACTGGAGTTGCTACATCCACACAAGCTTGAGGAGGGCTGGAGACCTTTCCTAACCCCCTGCCACAGGGGTGTCAAACTCAAACTCACACGGGGCCGAAATGAAACTCTGGGACGGAGTCGAGGGCCAAACTTAATATTTTTGAAAAAGTGACGGCAAATTTGCACATTTTCTCTATCAACATATTTGCAATTTTGAACCTTTAAATTTGGAAACAAACATATTTCTGCATTAACACTGAATGTGGAATAACCAAATGACACACGAGCAAGTCAGTTTTAAATAAAAGGCATCAGTGGTATTCATTACTTGTGGTATAATCAGCATTTTTAAAATCTATTCAGGATTTATGTTTTCTTGTTTATTCATTTTTCTTATTTTTTATTCTCCTTTTTCCTCCTGTAATACGTGTCATCGCTGCTGTGACGTCTAGCTTTCCCCACTGAGGAACAATAAAGGGATTTTCTATTCTATTCATCTATCTGCAGCCTTTCCACTTCCTGTTTACTGTAGGTTAAATCTTTTCTCACGGGCCAACAACAAAATAAAAATATCGTTTTAACTTAAATGAAAATGCAACATCTCACCTGTTAACTTTCATGTTTTGGAGCAGAAAAAGAGCAGAAAACCAACATATTTAAAGCTCAGTTTGCTCCACTGGTTTACTGTGATGCTCACCTGTTCCAGCCAGATACCTGCATCATGGGGTTGATCTGAGCTGAGGAGGAGACTCCTGTTGTTTTGTTCATCTTCATCACAATAATGACAACATTAGATGACAACAGGTGCTCACATAGGTTTGTACTGATGAACATGTCTGAGCAGCTTGACCACGTTGTTGTGTGTCGGGGAGGAAACACAACCACAGAGTCATGCTGGTTTGAGCGTGTCGCTGTTCGCTGGAGTTATATCAGCTCTGTCTGGACGTTAGTTTGAAAACTTTCTCTTTCAGTCGTGAACACATTACTGAGCGGCTAGAATCTCCGTTTCTGGGCTTCAACGTCAGAAAACAGCTGAGTGAACTCGGCGCTGAGTGAGAGGAGCGTTTAGTTTGTCCGAGACAGCGGAGCTGCAGACACCCAACTACTTCTGACTGCCTCGGCGCTGAAAAACACAAAGGAGGGGGCGCGTCTGCTCCGCGCTGGCGCCGCAAAGCATCATGGGAGTTGAAGTCTTTGCGGTAAAATCGGCCAGCGGGCCCGTTTTAATATATTTTTGATATTTATCACGCGGGCCACATAAAAATGCTCCGCGGGCCGCATCTGGCCCGCGGGCCTTGACTCTGACATATGTGCCCTACAAGGTTATCTAGCTGGTTTGGATTAAAGACTGAAACATACCTAATGTAATGTTGCTCTAACAGGGGTGTCAAACATACGGCCCGCGGGCCGGATCCGGCCCGCAAACGGGTTAAGTCCGGCCCGCGAGATGGTTGTATGAACTTTATTTTCATACTTTACAATGTAGAGTGAAAATAAACTAATTTTTCAATAAAAAACCTGCTGTTCCCAAAACGTTCACTAGATGGGGGAATAGGCATTGTGTTAAGCAAGCAAGCCGTTTATCCTCAGCCAGAGCAAGTACATCAGCCAAGTGCAACAGGCGTTCTGACCAGCTACTTGGTTTTGCCCCCGATATCTAATCCGGCGTCTACATTTTGTGCTTCAGCCCAAGATGTCTCTGTAAAAAAGGAGAAAGTGGACACAGAGTGCAGGTCGTTCCAAGAGAAATGGACATCCCCATATTTTTTCATGGCAGTGAACGGAAAAGCTGTGTGTTTGGTGTGTTCAGAGCATGTTGCAGTGCTGAAAGAATATAATCTTCGTCGCCATTATGAGTCTTCATGCCGAAAAATATGACAAATTTGAAGGACAGCGGAGAAGAGAAGGTGACTGAACTGTTGGCCGGACTGAAGAAACAGCAGTCTGCGTTAACTCACAGCCGAGATATCAGTGATGCTGCAGTGAAAGCTAGCTGCCTGATTGCTAATGATATATCCAGGGTATCTGCAGGTTTAAGGGAGCCAAATTTAAGACTTTTTAAGGACCCGCGGATACCCTGTATATCAGTGGCTACAAAACCATTTAGTGAGGAGGGAATTAGTAAAAACGTGCATGATGAAGGCAGCGGAGACTGTGTGCCCTGAAAAGCGCCAATCAGCCTGACCAGAAACACAATTCCAGACAGGATTTCTGATATTTCAGCGGACTTGGACAGCCAATAGAAGGAAAAGTAAAGTCCTTTATTGCTTTTTCAGTTGCGATTGATGAAATCACGGACATCACAGATGTTGCTCAACTGGCGAATGTCATCGGCGGAGTCGATGACACGTTGACCGTCACCGAGGAGTTTGTTGAGCTGGTGCCCATGAAGGATTCATCAACAGCAGCTGATAGTTTCAACGCACTCGTTGGAGCGCTGGACAGGGTCGGAGTGCAATGGTCCCGCGCTCTAAGCCTCGCTACACACGGTGCACCACCGGGAGAAAGGCAGGTTTTAATTTACCGGTCTGGCCCAACTGGAACTAGATTTTCCTCAATGTGGCCTCTGAGCTAAAATGAGTTTGACACCTCTGCTCTATCATCTGTAAATGTCCTTAATAGTAACTTTTATATACCTTTCTGTTTACAACGTGGTCTGGGAACAGGTCAGACTAACAGAGGGAAGCTGCAAAGAGCGGCTAAATCTGCTCAACCAGCACCCTCCTGTCTCTAGAGAACATCAGCCGAAACAGACCCAGAGCAACAATCCAACCCTTGAACTTTTCACCCTCCTTTCTTCAAGCATTAAACTGAGCCTCAGTAAATGGTTTGTTTATGAAGCACAGACTTTGGATTTTGTTATCCAGAAGAAACTTGTGAAAGGTCTTTAAATGATTTGTGGAACTAAAAGAAAATATGTCAGCAGATCTGCCATGATGCATACATACCTCCTGAATTAGTCTGAATTAGTCCTAAATTTACTACACATCATGTTTGCCTTTGCTAGTACCTGTGTGCATCCCCCCAGCTGGTCCTACAGGGTCCTGGCTTTGCTCCACATTATGAGGAGAGGACTCAGACCCCACAGCCCATTTAGCTGCTTCACCTGGGTCCATGTTCTCCCAGCCCTCCGCATCTGGAAACACGTCCTCCTTTATAGACTGTTGGAACACATAACACAGGTACAGTCAAACGTATCCGTGGTTCGTATCATCCTCATCTATAAAACTCACTCGATCGGTGCTGCCCATGATGGCGGCTGTCAGTGAATCCACCACATCCTGAGCAGCTCTGACTCCTGCTCCTAGGGAGGAGTTACAGACCATCAGCCGGAGCTGCTCCCCCTGAGTGGAGACCAGAGCCGAGCCCACTTTAGTGGCCCCACGAAGCACCTGCAGGACCTCCGACAGCATCACCTCTAGCGCAAAGGGGGGACAGCAGGAATGTTAGGTCATGTGACTAACACACGCACGCACGCACGCACACACACACACACACACACACACACACACACACACACACACACACACACACCTCTGGACAGACCAAGCGAACGAAATGAAGTTTCAGCACAGGGACAGAGGAAAAATAAACAGCCCCACGAAGGTCTTCAGGCTTAACCTTGGATGGGTCAACTGTCTAGTTACATTACCAGGCATGTGTCACTGCCACGTGCTCCCTAATAAAGCGGACTGAAACACTCAGATACACACTTACCCATCAGAGAGACAGCAGTAACTCAAACCATCGCGTCTGCCTTGACTAACTCGCAGGCTAACAACTAAATCAAAGCTAAAAGAAAGAGCCGTGTAGCAGCAGCTGATGTTTGAACTAATGAAAATTACAAACTCATCTACATATATGGGCCCAATTCTTATAAGAAAACACTACATTTAATAAGTGACTTAGAAAATCTCACCGTTCTTGAGAAGCAACGTTACGAAGCATTTATCGGGGCTCGTTTACTAGCTAGCTTCTTGCTTTACACAACACCCGGAAGTTAACCTTTGACTGGCCGCTTTGCGTCCAATCAGAGATAGAGGTAGGCGGGCTCGAGCCTAGAGGCGTGGGACACGGCTTGGCGGCTCTTGATGACGTATCTCCTAGGCAACCGGGGCGTGGCCAAGACACCAATGCAAGGTTCCTTTTTTTATTTGTACAAAATATAATGTACAACAATTATGGCAATCTCTACAAAGATTCAGTTTTACCAACATGAGATAGTATCAAAGCAGGCTGAATCCCAACATATAGAAGAAGGATATTGAACAGGAAGTACAAACAACAACAGATAAATAAATAAATAAAATAAAAATAAACCCCAAACAGAATCAAAGTAAACAAATAAGCAAACAAATGAACAAAAAGACAGATAATCAAACATAAAAAAGTTATACCTTAGGGGCTTTCTAACAGATCTAGTTCAACAATCTGTCATGTTCCTGGGCAGAGGTGAGGGTGAGTCACACCATCTCCTCTCACCAGACTCTGCGCTAATTCTCCACAGGTGAGGAGCAGGGGGAGCGGCAGCTGCAGGAGATTTTCCAATCAGGGATGCGGGTTCAAAAGGAGGATGGAGCAGGGGCGGCGTGAGGCCCGGCTACTTGGGCTGAAGCCCTGGATGTTTCATGGAAAGCCCCGGATCTAAATCGCGGAAGTAACATGCAGTACCAAAGTCCAACAGAGAGGGAGCAGCTGGCAGTAGTTTGTATACAGCCTGCCTGAGCCTCCACCACTGAAGAAGAAGCCCTTCAGCAGCCGGCTTCTTCTACAGTCTCTGCCTGAAACGCATGAGTGAAGATGGACATAAGGACGTTTTTTAGACCAAAAGCACAACGACAGAACCCCAGCTTTGATGAGACTGGTGCTGACTCAGGTTTGTGAGTCTTATTTGAAAATATTTGTTTTGTGCTGCTGGTTTGCCTAAAGTTAGCTTACTATCAGGTAAAGTTGTTGGAGAAAGAAAGGGAATATTTACTATCATCTCACACTAAACACTAACAGGAACAATACTCTACCCTGAAAAGGCTTAATACGTAGTTTCAGATTAAAAATTATGTGGTACAAGACAAATATGATGTTGACTAGGGCGTGTCACGTGTGTGTGTTAAGCCCCGGATCTTCTTCAGTCCTAAATCCGCCCCTGCTATTCATTATAGCTCTCCTAATATCTCTGTCTAAAACTACTACAAAATCTAACGTAAGACTCTAAATCCATTCTGATAATTAACAAAAGACCCACTCTTTTCTAAAAAGTATACCAGTCTATTAGTCACCATCCTCTCCATCACCTTACACAGCACAGATGTCAAAGCTCTTGGCCTGTAAGATGACGGAGAAGAGGGATCCTTTCCTGGCTTCACAATAGGGACAACAATGGCATGCTTCCATCATTTTGGCAAGACTCCTTCCTCCCAAACATGATTAAACAGCGCTAAAATGCCACACATCGTTTCTTCATCAAGATGTTGAAGCATCTTATAACAAATCCCATCCTGCCCTGGTGTAGTATTAGTACCCACCTTAATAGCATCCTTCAACTCCTTCATTTTCCGTTCCTGCTGCTCCTGCCAGTTTAAAGACAGTTTCTGACAACGTAACCTCTCATAACTTTAGCACTTCTTCACCCAAGAACTCTGAGATACGAACATCTAGAAAACCTTAACACACATGTCGGCTTTCTCTTTGCTAGTAATAGCTATCCTCTGCCCGTCACTAAGAACTGGCATTGCTGAACTCACAAATTTACCAGACATACGATGAATCCTCCTCCATAACTGTTGTGTAGGAGTCTCTGGACCTAGAGTACTACAAAACTTTCTCCAGCACTTTTTCTTTTCTGCCTTTATAGTTCTTCTTGCCATTGCCCAACATCTCTTAAAATCAATAACATTTTCCTGAGTGGGATATTTACGCATCTTAGCAAAAGCAGTCTCGCACTCTTTATTCTACCAGGGAACAATAGCTCTACTTCCAGGATTCCTGCTATAGGGAATTGTCTCCGATGCAACTTTCACAATCATTGCTGACACATTACATCCACTGTACTATTATCCATCTCTTCTACACCCACTGCTGTGACCTCACTAAATCTAGGCCAATCCGCCAGAGAGAAATTAAACCTGGCAATTTTCTCCCCACTATCTACAAAAACTGACCAACCAAAGTGGCTGAGTACAGGAAAGTGATCTCTGCCCAGTGAGTCCTCCCTAAACACTCTCCAGTCCCCGACCCGTGCCAATCCTGGAGAAGCGAAAGCAATATCCAAATAAGATCCTTTACCGGAATTAAGGTCAAAACGAGTTGGTACGCAGACATTCATAACTATTAAATTTGCAATATCCAAAAATTCTTCGATCACAGCCCCATTAGAATCTTTGTCCTGGCTCCCCCGCAATGGATCATGAGCATTCAAATCTCCCATCCAAATTGCAGATGATCCGATTTCTTACTAAAAATATCCTCAAACTCGGCCAAAATTAAAGGTTTACATGGATTATAACAATTGACTAAAACTATCCTACCTTCATTAGACCACACTACAGTTATTATACATTCCAATGGCCCCTCCCACTCACAGCGCTTATATTGGATACCTAATTTTATAAAAATGGCACACCCACCACATGACCTGCTCTGTCTATCCTTACGGAGACACACATAACCTGGAATGACAAAATTAAGATTCGGCTTAAGCCAAGTTTCCTGGACACAAATAAAATCTGGTTTCGGCTGAGTGTCCCGAACAAACATTTGCAGTAAGACTTCTTGCATTCCACTGCAAAATACAAACCATATCTCAAAGCCTAGGCACCATCATCATCATCAGTGAAGTCACCATCATCTAGAACAATCTCCTCTGCAACCTCTATTTCCCTCTCAGCTTCAGCCACCCGACTCATCCTCATGAACTCATGCAGTGTCTGGGGAGCAAAGTTCGTAAGTCCCAAGAACCTGTTAGCAGCCTCAGTAACAAACTTAATGATATCAGACCTGGACCTTTTCTCCCTAACCCTAACCCCATACATCACATCAACCACAAAGGCCAGAAAAGCCTCCTTGTGGACCACAAAACAGTTATGACCTGTAGGTACATCTAACGTCTGCTGTGACAACAAAGGAGCATCCATAGCAACACCAACGCTGACAGGGCGAACCCTACCTTCCACCCTTTTCATCAGCATATGAGATGTTCTGTTCCTTAACCGTTTGGACCTGTTTAACTTTCATAAAATGTGTGCACTCTTTCGATGACACCATGTGACTCCCCCCACAGTTGCAGCATTTCAGAACAGAATCTGCACAATTAGATATCTCATGACCACCTCCACATTTTGCACATTTCCTGACACCTCTGCGGGCAGCTGCCATTTGACCGAAGCGCTGGCATTTAAAGCACCTCATCGGAGGTTTTATAAGGCCCTTACCTGGTACGACAAACAGCCAATGAACACTCTCGTCGGTAAAACAGTCCCTTTAAATGAAATCAAAACCGGAGAACTGGGATTACCTCCTTCACGAGCTTTAAAGTGTCTTACTTCCACCACTTCTCCACCATTAATATTGTCCCTGAGTTCTTTCTCTGAGATGTCAGCACACACACCATAAATTACACCTCTAATCACCTCCCTTTTCTCTGGAACAGAAACCTCCACTTTTTTCCCCACATAATTTCCCCAGTCTCTGAGCCTGAACCAACTGATGTGCAGTGGCACAAAACACCAAAAGAGCCCCATTAGGAAGAGTTCGAGCTTTCAGGTTATCCCTATACACCTCAATGATTCCGCAAGTTTTAATGGATTCAAAGCCCTGAGTCCTTCACCAGTTTGCTCTTCAAGTTTAAAAACCACTTTAAAAACTGTGAATGATTTTACCATTTTATTCTCTCTCCCTGTCCGATCTATCCCGTTTCCCCGACTTTAACCTGTCCCTCTCGCTACCCCCCAACACAGAAGGCATGACCAGAACACAGGCTAGTACACCAGGAAGAAAAGAGGACCGATGCAAGGACACACCGTATTACTGGGCCTATACAGGCCGTCGGCAGGCGCTCCCACAACTTCCCCCTTCCCACCCAAAAAACAAACGAATAATACTACCACAACCTCGCAATCTGCCACACTCAAACCAAGTTCTCATACAGCAAATGAAAAGAGAACTTTATCCATACAAAACCAGCTGTCAGCCTCGACAGCACCAACAAGAGCTCAACCAATCAGCCTGGCCCAAGTCGACTCCCGCTTTCGCCATCTAGTGCTTACGTGGACGTAATTTTGGGGGGGGGACAGGGGGGACATGTCCCCCCCACTTTTTCGAAAGTGAAGTTTTGACCCCTGCACTTTTTACCATCCCAAAACAATATTACACTATATTAAATTGACACTGGTTGAGCTCTAGGACCAAGCGGAAAACAACCGTTTGTGGTGAAGCCTGTTTCCCATTAGAGCATACTGTAAAGATACAACCCCCCCCCCCCCCCCCCCACCCACCCACCCACCCCGTGTCCCCCCGACTTCTAAAGTGAAAATGACGTCCATGAGTGTTTATATACCTATCCATGAGATGTCCAGTCAACAGGAGTGCAGAATTACGAGTGACAGCAAAATCTGTCCAATCACCATCAGAAAAGGCGGTCACCAATTAGAAGACCTATCCAATCAGGGTTAAGGTTTTCTGGTATTCGGTTTTGCAGGTTTTTACAGCTACCTGTAAAAGTTGAAAACAAAAAAGGTATTTTAACAGTCTGTGGTCAAAACAGACATTTCAGCTGTGTTCAATTTACAGCGAATTATGTCGGATAGTTTAAATATCCCTAATTCTAAATAACACAATTTGGTCAGAGCACACCTTGTAGGGTGAAGTGCCCTGAGACGACTCGTCGTGATTCGGCGCTATATAAATAAACTTGAATTGAATAGGGAGCCTAAGTCACACCCATCTACTTCCGGACCATGGGTCCCCGCTGGAAAAACAAAAACTCTCCAGAAAATGTATTCTGGATTCTTACTTTTTCACCTCATCAGTTACTTTTGAGCAGCTCAAAGGGATCTCCTGACCGCAAAGCGGAGAGCGCATTTCGATGCTGCGTCAGTGAGGTGAAATCACCGCAGCACAGGTGATGAGCTCCGCAGTAGCAGAGCGCTTCCGGCACAAATAAGACAGAAAGTAGAGAACATGAGCGGACACGAACGATAGAGTTAATTATAGTTTTTTGGTTGTGCCACTTTGAGAATGGACCGTGCGCTGGACGCAGCTGCCTGGAGCTCACCAACGACCAGAGCTCTGCCGCTCTCTGTGCTCTCCGCTCAAAAGAACCCCCCCGGACGCCCCGGATAGAGTGAAAAGTGGACATGTCTGGGGAAAACAGGACGAATGGTCACCCTAGTTTAATAGAAAGCGGGAGATTACAGATACAGTACTTTGCTCGTGCCCTTGCTGCCCTGGGCCCTTTAGAGTTCATGGACCCCTGGGCAATTGCCCAGTTGCCCATATGGTTAATCCGGCCTTGCTCCTGAGTGATGGCTCTTATGTGCATGGGTCCTGTAATTTTTATGAGTGTGTGCTTCATGCATCAACATGGCAGGTTTGTTTCCTCAGGATAAGGTCACTTATCACTGATGGCAGCATTATCTGATGTCAGCCTTCTTATCTCCGGTTTTCTCCCAGACAAAACATCATTTTTCATCAATGAAGGAAATCTTTATGTGGTTAGCTATCAGGAGGAGATTCTGGATGGTCATGGTGATCCCATATCTCCAGGGTCTGGGAACTAACTCCATCATCAAAGTAGCTTGGGAGAGTGGAGGACAGCTTGTGACTTGGAAGTTCAGCTGGGTCATTCTGTATGTGGGGGAGTGACCAACACCATTGAGCTGGTTGATCTGCAGCGACTCCTGGTGGAGGAAAGAAGTGTCATCACTAGCAACTGGTGACCAGTGTGAAAAGGAGCCTGCCTGGTGACCAGCATCAAGAGGAGGAGCCTAACTGGTGACCAGCCCCGGGGGAGGAGCCAAGCTGTGGGTAGATCTTCCACATATTACTGAGGTTCCTGACGGTCAAAAACTTGGTAGAGTTTCCCCGATACTGGCCCAATCTCAATACTCGCACTCCCACCCTTGCACTCTGCAGCTGCGTGATACCAACCAGGGGTACGAGTGCATAGGGTGTCCTGATTCTCAAAAACTCCCCTTTTGCACCCTTGGTCTGAGAGGTATTACCCAAAAGCCATTGCTGCAGAAGAAAAGGCTCAAGTTCCTTTTCTGAGAATATGTATTTTAAATGAGAATATGTATATATGGACAATTAGTTGATGCTCTGCATGTTTTGGACAAAGCAGCAATGAATTTAAGCTTATTTCAAATAACTGGTTGTTTGTTTGAAATTTTTTAATAAAGGTTTTTGAAAAAAGTACCACTGCGACCAGCATCCTGGCATGCGTTATGATTGATGACACAAAGCTCCCTGTCTCAAATTGGCTATTATTTGCACACTTGTGTACTAAGCACTCGGAGCTTCACTGCGTACTTTCTCCAAGCGCACTTTGCCGAAGACCGCAGGGCGAGTATTGGGATTGGGTCCAATTCGTTTTCATTTTGTGGGATACTGTGGGATGCAGCATAAACCAATCCACCAGGACTGTTTTTCATGTTTTGAGGTTCTGCCCGGGTGTCTAACTGGGTTGTTAATTCCCCAGATGCACATTCATACCTCGTGTTTGATCAGGCGTTCCAAAGTGAAATATAAAACCAATCAGTGTGACCTAAGTTTTGAAATCATTGTGTAAAATAACATTTTGTTTATTTCTCACTCTCAACTCAAATCATGACTCACAAGCCAGGTAAAATGTGCTAACTAAAAACATTCCTAGCTGTAGAGATTTAGGGGGTAATATAAAGTACAACTGTAACAACACAGTATAAAGGGAACTTTGATCAATTGTACGCTCCTGCCTCTGTTACCACGGAGAGGAGGTGTCACGCAACAGAAGAAAAGTAGCTGGTGCGGTGGAATGATGAGCTGCTGCCTGGCTGTGAGCGTTGGTGGGTTTTATCCGTGGTTTTATCACCTGTGCTTGACACGTTGACCTTTGGCTGTGGGTGAGCCAGGGAGGGGACCGCAGAGGGAGGGAGCTGAGCGAACTCCATATATGGGCATACCACCGACTCTGAGCTGCTATTGGCTGCGAGCCTTTGCAGCTGCTTGTCAACAAGATGGCCTTCCTCTTCTCGCCGTTTTGACACAGATGATTTTGGTATCCCTGAGCACACGCTGTCAAAGCTGGTGCCCCTTCTGAAGAGATAGCGGCAGCGCGGTTGGACCGAGTCCTCGCTGGGTGTTCGTTCAATCAGCGGGAGCGTGTTGGGGGAACTGACAAGCTCACCATCTGCGTTCGCGACCAGAACCAGGTGGATAACAGAAGTAGCTGTAGGCCAGAGCTAAGTGAGCTATCTGAGCTACGTGGACTCGGAACACCTGCGCTTCCCCAGGTTCGGTTTCAGCCCAGAGACACCTGGCACCGACCAGCGGAGTTGTCGAAAGAGAATAACGTCACTAAGGTATTTTATACTTATTTAAAATGTAAGTATTTAAGAAAGTCCAAGCTCTCATGTTCAGTTGTGCTCCCGAGTTAGCCACCTCGTTAGCTCAGGAGGAACAACCTGTTTACTCTGTAAACAATAAACAATACAACACAATGAAGGGAAAAGTTTAGAGGAGCCGCTCTGTCCAATAAAACCCGAGGTCACCAGTTTGTGTTAAACGTTAGGAGCTACCAGGCTAGGTAAGCTAACTGCTTCACTAGCTAGTGGCCTGAGACGTTCAGTTATAAATAGGATCGTTTAAAATACCGACTTAGTATTTAGAGTTTATGTTTAGGCTTTTCACGCTTTAGTTGGGACCTGAGAGCTGGTTTTAGCTCGTGGTTTGGTGAGGAAAACGCTGTCCGAAAGGTAATGGTTGAGAAACCTGTAGGCCTTCATTTTGACCCGAACGATTCTGTCCCGCTGACGGGTTCACCTACGAGGCTCTTTCATCCACCGTTCCTATTTAACCCAACACCTGGTAAAGCATCGCTGTGGTTTGAGCACAAGTTGTTCTGGTTTTTAACAAATTAAAACATTTAACACTTTCACTGTTAAGAGAGGTCAAAAACACGGATGGTGAGGTCCGTAATGAGCGATGACCCTACACACAGGGAGACCTAACTGCTGTATAGTGGTAGTGTATGTATGTGTATAAGTCAGCTTGTGTGGCTGTAGCTCACCTGTAACATTTCAAGTGTATAATAGCAACAGTAAGACTAATTGAATCAGACGATGCATGACTGGGCCCACCTTTCAGGTGTTCAATAGAACAGAGCTCTGTGCTGGCCTGACTGTCTTATCAAAGATTGCATCACAGTAACTTAACGATGTTGTTGGACAAACATGCCGATGCTCATTCATGCAGTAAGATACAGCGTGCAGGCCGGGCTCACATGAAATGTGCCTGAGTGGACTCCCACTGTAATGCACACGGCACTTTGGTTGCAGCAAAGACTTGAGACGTGCAGAGAGATAACCAGGTAAAGATGTTGGTGCATACGTGTGTGATCTTTCTGCTGAGCTTCTGGCTACAGTGCCGGAGAGCCAGAAGATTCAAGT